TGGATTAATGCAGCTAACTACTGCTTTCTGACTGATCACTCTCAGGCACCACTGCAGAAGTGGATCTTAAGGAATGGAAAAGACAATCATACAAGGTAGACTAAGGAGACTATTATTTATTTACATGAGAGAGTACAAAGCAAGGTATATCTGTAAGCAGACAACTAAACATTGAAGCTGGCAGGGGTAATATGGAAAGGGTAATATACATAACAAGAGTGTATGAGAAAAGGACAGTATTTTATAGCAGTTAAAAATACTGATAAATTTTTATATATTTGTAAACTTAGGTTGGTAACTTGTTGAGTACATTCAATGGATTAATACCATGGTGCTACTTCAATTTTAGGAAGTTATTATGCACACATGGGATATATAACCACAGTGCATACCATATACATGCAAATATTTATAACCAAGTTTTATGCTTTAGATGCTAAGAATTAAGTTTTCCTTACAGAACTATCAGGTATCATGTCACCATATCCTAATCAAGACAGACTGGTCTAAGGATCTTACTTGCATCTCAGTCATTATATTGAGTAAGTCTCCCACGATTTTGCCTCCTTGGTTATACTACAAAAGGGATGAATATTTTCTCAACCCTACATTTACTACTGATCCTGGCTTCACATTTGTAGCCAGGGATGCAGTTGTTCAAGGAAAAATAAACCTAAAGCTAACTTGTAGGAAGACTTGTACCATGCATCTCCTTCCATTTCACTGCCTCCCCCATAAGTGCCCAGGAAGCACCCTCCCTACCCACACACAAATACACACATCTTCCTCCCTGCCCCAATCCAGAGCAGGGAGTGGATCACCTGTCCTGTTCCTGAACACCTCTCCCCACTTACCCACCCACCCCATATAGGGAGTATTGGTGAGATATTGTACAGGGAGGGGTGATGACCCAGCTTGCAACAGCTCATTAAAACTCCCTATGTGGCTCCCAGGGCCAAACAACTGCCCATCCTTGATCTAGTAGTAGCTATGTCAGCATTCTACTATGGGCATTTCCCAAGTTTCTGGGCTTTTCCTGTTGCCACATGGGACTGAGAAGGAATTTGTTTACCCTTCTTCTGTTGCCCCACTTCTTCAGAAGCACTGGGTGGTGCCTACAGCCAAGGCTGGGGATTTTGACTGGGGTGTGCTAAGGCTTGTGTTAGGACTTAAACCCTCCACCCAGAGTGAGACCAATCACCACATTTGGACTAGGGAAGGAATTCTGCCCCATGGTCAGATTGGTACAGACTATAGGGGTTACTGCATTCTTCTTCAGATCTCCTGATCATGCCCCTCTTCTTCAGATCACTCAAGTGTCTTTTAACAACCTTCACAATAGCAGGATGTTAACCACAATGGTTCCCGTGCCTTCTTTACCTGTGGAAAATTAGGATATTATGTCTTGTGGTAAGGGTCGACTATAGCTTCGCTAATAGGTTAGACAGAGGATTTATATAGGATGATTTGGACAGGGGTCTCCTACCTCAGCGTACTTCCACCCCTACTTTTCTGTGATTCTAAGACGTTAACCCCATGCTTCTGGGAAGAAATGTGGGAGGAGGGTCTTAGGAAGTAAGGAATTTTTCTTTTGAGCAGTCTGATCTTTGGAAGTATACCTGTTAGGTCTAACTGGTAAGAATTGTAGGGATGTTTGCCATCCTTAAAAGTGTGGGACATGGTCTTCCTTCTAGAATCATTAACTTAATTAATCTTCCATGTCATTTCCAAGAAGATGCCAAAATAGTACCACTGTATCCCTTCCTTGATTTTCACCTGTACCAGGTTGTAAGGTAGTTTCAGGTCCAAGTTGTAAGGTATTTTCAGATTTGTTTTTATAAAGGTCTTCGTGCCTAAGTAGTGAAAGGTTTTTTGGATAGAAAGGTTGCCTGCAAAGCCAGGAACCACACAGTTGCCTGGGATACTGCTTTCAGGACTGTATCCCACATTTTCCCCATTATTTCTAGCTTAAAAGGACCATATTCTAAGTATTAATTATTTTTTTAAATCATCACAGACTGTAGCATTTTGCTAAACTGCTGCTAAGCAGGATATTTTCTTGGTGTACATGCACTGGTGCTATAACTGCTTTAAAGGCTGAAAAACAGCCTGGTCAATATCACTGTCTTCCCTTCAAGATAGTAGCACATATGCTGGCAAATGATCAAGTTAGCTGATGTCTGGCACACGCTGCAGATGTCTGCTGCATATTCATAGTGCAGATAACCTTCACTTGTATTTCTAAACCCAATCCTGTCAAAAAGTGTCACATGTACGATAAAAAGGAAGAAGGCCATGCACACAAGTTTGAACTTCTCAAAAGAAATTACTGCTTTTAAGAGGATAAAGACAAAAAGCAGAAATAAGTTTTTCCACAGTACAAATGAACTCAGCTTTTCCACAATACAAATGAGCTTTGTTCATATTATAATCACATTAGAATGGGAAAGACTGTCCTTCCACATACAGTTTTTTAATAAAAGTTTCACTACAGTGAAAGCAGGGAATTAAATGTCAGGAGCCCCGGTCCATTCTGGTTCTGACGGCCAATTGCACAAGAAACTGCTGCACAAGATACGTTAGTGAGTGTACAAACAGTATTTCATATTGATCACAGATTCAGAAGTTCAGCATGGAAAAAAGTACTATATTATATAGCTACATATTCCTGCCAATATAGTGTATTCTATTTAAGTGCTTACCTGAAATGTGCACTTATCCAAAACTATATGTAAAGAAGGCTGAAACAATGGTATCAATGTTGTGTTATTAACACTGTGAAAAATGACAAGCACTTCCTCATTTTCAAGGCATCTACAAGTTAATTTGGGAGCTCTATAAGAAACCTTGAAAGTGACAGGTGGTGCTAGTCATTTTCAGAACTAATAGGACAGTACTGCCTGTTTAAAATGGGACTGCTTACTGCACTCCTTGTGCTCTGGTACTAGAAGCCCTCAAACTGATTAGCTCCTCTCATTTTTCAGATTCCAACTGTCGTTATAGTTTTAACCCCAATACGTTTTCAAAAGGAGAGAAGATGAAAAACTGACTAGCAGCTGTTTGCTTTTTTTCTTTTGCAATTAAACAAGAGTACAATTACTTAAATTGAGTATACCAGTTAGCCCAAGTTCAGTTAATTTTAAGGGAACAGTGGGGCTGAAAGATGCCATGCATTTTACACTTTTCACCAACAATACCCAGTGTTTGTTAGAGTGTAGGCAAAAAGGAACAAATTGGGACCGGTGGCACGTTAAGCAGTTAAACGTATGCATTAATCCAGCATGGATGTAAGCAGTAGTACTGCGATAGGCTGAAATAAAGATTGCTGAAACGAGCAGGTTTTGCCATTGCCCTTCACTTAAGGAAGATGCAAGAAACAGATAAGCAAGCACGCTCCATCAGAAGCAAAAGCAAATGACAAGTTGCTCAGAAATTCAAATGCTTGGGCAGGTGGGGCAGAGCTAGATATTGTTTTGTGATAAAGATACTTGTGCAAGCGGATGAAAAGCCAGCTCAGGCAGAGGAGACAAGAGTAGAGACATGCCAGTGAGACAGCTGTAAGAAACATGTAGAGTCGATTTTGGGGTTGAGATGCTGGCTGGACAGGTTTGGAGAAGTGAAGAGAGAAACCCATTGCAGGCAATTCGCACCCTGCTCTGTTCAAGTAAAATGGCAGGTAGAGCTGGGTGCCAACGCCATTTCTTTTTTCCTAACTGGAAAAACCCATTAAGAATTGCTGAGTGACTTGAGCCAAGAGGAGCGTAATCCCTCTCATCCCGCCCCGTCTCATTTCCCCAGTTCCACCATGCCCCGGAGAGCATTAATCCACAGCTGGCAAAGGAATCAAAGCTTGAAACATCTGCAGGTCCCCCCTTTCATTCCATCTCCATGCACAAGACACCCCTCAAGCAGCCGCTTTCTTTCCTCGTCTGTATTTACATTCTTCAGACGCCTCCGGTGCTCCCCAGTCATTTTTTCCTCCCCCCCCAAAACCCCCTTAAATAAATATGAACGTTACATAAATAAATATATAAACAAGCATGCACATCAAATTATAACATTTAAATATACAGTGAATGAACAATGAATATAGAATATTATGTGTATTTTATAATGGGGCAAATTAGATCTATCAGATAGATCTGTATATAAAATATAGCTATATTACAATAAAAAAATAAAATAAAAACAAAATAAAACTGATCCCAGTTTCCCACCCAACTTATTCCCAGGCGTCAGCAGCACGTGCCTCCCCCCTTCGAGCACGTGCGCAGACGGCATCACCCCCAGGCCGGGACCCCCGTTTATACGGAGCCGCTCCGGGTCTTTGGCTGCTCCCCTTAAGGACGCGGCGCGCGCCCGGGTGGACCCACCGCAGCGCCGCGGGGGGCGGGAGAGCAGACTGAACGTTCAACTGCACGCGCTGGCCCCACAGACGGCAGCGCCGTCCCGGGCCAGGCGGCGCGAAGGGACGAGCCCAGCCCCGGGTGGGGGGCGCGCGCGGACCCACCTCACCTACCCATGTCGCCGGCGCTAGGTCCCATTGAGAAGTAGTAGCCGCCGCCGCCACCTCATACCCCCCCCCCACGCTTCG